AGCTGCCATTTTAAAGATCTAAAAGCGGCTTGAGTATTTTGGCTATTTAAAGAGACAGCGCTCTAGCAGATTCCTGGGGCTTAAGAACACGTTCTGCTTTCCAGCAACCCCAAGAACCCTCTGGACCTGCAAGACTGAAAAGGTATGACATTCATCTTGATACTCTTATACCCCACACCCACTTGGTGAATGGAGGTGTGACCATCCCCCACTCCCACCTATCTTCTGGGCCCACCGGAACTCCATCACAGTCTGTGTGCTCAGACGGAGCCTGGGTGCCCTGCCCTGTCCTCCACTGATTTTTTTTTTCCTTTTTTTATTTTTCTATTTTGCTTTCTTGCTCTGGTGATTAGTTTGCTTGTATTTGTCTGTTTTAAAACAACTATTATTATTAATATTTTTTGTCCTTTTCACTATTATTCTTAATCTTTCCCTCCCAGGTCCTAGTTTTTAGCATTTTTTCTTGTCCCTGCTCCTGGTTGAAATTTTTTTTTTTTTAATTTATTTTTTTTTCCCTTTTTTCTCATGGTGAACCCCATTCCTTATTTTTCTTTTTGCATGTTTTCCATTATTTTTCCTTCACTATTCTCCTTCTCTATGTTTTTTTCTGTTAATGCCCTATCCCCAGATATTGCAGGTTTTCTTGTTTTTCTTCTTCTTTTTCCTTTTTCTTTTTTTTCATTACTGTTCGTGTGTGATTACATGGTGTGTTTTTTGTCCATGTGCTTTTAGTTTTTTGAAGGTTATTCAATTGTAATTTGTGTCTAATTGAGTGCGAGAAAACAACAGTCCCCACAAGACACAACTACACCCACACCACCTGCAACTTCACTTACTGAGTGAGAGCCACTATGTCCTTCTCCACCAACTGGCCAACAATAGAAAACCACCAAGAAGAGCCGGAATCACCCTTGACTACTCTTCACAAACAGTTAACAGAGATCTAAATACAACAATGCCACGATGCGTCAGAGACAACAGACCAGCACACTCCACACAAAGAAGCAAGATAAAGTGGTAGAAACAAGGGAGCAGGATGCAGACCTGGAACATATCCCTGAGGAAGAAGCAGCATTGGAACTCTCTGATAAGGAATTCAAAAGAATTACTTTTAGGTATCTTCAAAGGATTGAGAGACAGACCAAAGAAATCATAGAAAAAACCTTACAAGAATTTTGGAAGAAAATACAAGAACAAAATGACAAAATAAATGAAAAATTAGAAATGATTCTAAATCTACAGATAG